CCTTTGCTTTATTTATGTTTTTGGACTGACGATATTTGGACAACCAGCTAATGCTAGCAGGCGTGACCCATGTTTCACCAAGTTTAATGACATTTACATTTGCGAAGCTGCAGCTTTGCAAAAATGCATATTTGCAAAGATCATAATTTCCACTGCACTGAATAGTCCTCTGAAAACGTCCTTCTTCACGTCACTGTTTCTCCAAAGAAGAAGGTGCTGAGTTTCCGTCACTACTTTCTTTATAGTCAGAAATCACAGCTTCTTTGGACTGGCCACTTAAGTGCTGCTTATATGTAAGATTTCAGTTCATTTATTGAAAACCAGTGTACATAATTAAGCTTTGTTTCCAACATTTATAATGCACCTTCATTTTCTTAGCGCAACCAGACATTTCTCCCTATTTGCTCTTTAGATAAACCAAAAGAGAATTCAGTTGTGTCATGCATACCTGTATCCATTCAAAGTTGGATTAAGTAACACATCCTGACTGCTGCCCACTGAAGCAAAAAATTAGCCTGCTGGCTTCAGTGAAAGGTCGCCGTGCAGGGGAAGAAACGCGGGGTCACTTTACTCTGACTGTGAACTCTTGCTGCAAGTGAGTCAAGCTGCTGACAAAAGTCAGACAAGAAAGGTCCAGCTGGTCGTTTCAAGAGCTGATGGGAGCCCTCCATTTCCTCTAACTGAGATGTTCACTGTCCCAGTGTTACACTGTTTCATGATGTAAAGCAGTCACATTGCTGTGCGCAGTCTGTTTGTGTGATGAGTTTATCCACTGCGCTGCCTGAGCTAACTGCTGCAAGCAGATAGGATCGGGCTCCATGTCATTAGGTTAATTGAAAATCCTATAACTTCTTAGAGTCGTACACTTTTGTTCAGCTTGTTGATTGAAGTCTCTGCTTAGTTAAAGAGATAAACACCGTACATGCAAAAAGGAAATTGTGTATAACTTTATGTTGGGATCACTAATTGGCAGCAGAATCGTGTGTCAGCCGTTTCCCAGAGCAAACCGAGCACCTGGAACGGAGGACATTTATACCTCTTTACCTGCAGGTGAACTATTTCATGATTGTGTTCCCTCAGGTGTGTTAGCCAACAATAAAATGAAAATGACCTGACTTTGGAATGAATTGAGATGGTAATGACCTGCTGATCTGATTTGTTAATGAAACTGATGCAATTAGCATCATGTGGCAGCGTCAGTGTCAAATGGTGAAATGAAAAGTTCTAAATATAAACCACACGTCCACCCTGTGTGAGTCTGACACTACGTTTTGCATTTTTCTGAACACAACCTAAATATAGGATCCGTTTGAACTGGAAGCTTTGTACCTGGGCCAGTCCGGCTCGTCTTTCTGGAGACTTCTTCCTGTGTATGTACAGTGGGGTGGATTCTTCATGGCGTGACACACACGACTGTCCATATTTGTTTATTTAGGAGTTAATTGGTCCCTTTAAGCTTGCACTCTTATCTCCCCCTGTGGAAAAAAGCGTCTGGAGATAAGCAAAAGATGCTAAACTTTCATTTTGCGAGTGTGATGTGCATTCTAAAATCTCCCTTTATCACTCCCAGGCTGCTCTTCAAGCACATGTGCGAGGGGTGCGAGGGGTCACGAGACAACCAGCAGATTGTTTCCATCACCCAGAGGATTCAGATACTTCCAGCCTCACCTGGAGTAAAGTAATGACAGTGAAGTTTTCTGACAGTCACAACTCGTCCATGATTTTAGATTTCTGCTCTTTTGTTGGCAAAATTTTTATTATCAAGGAATGTAAATGTTCTTAATGAAGCTCATTTATTCAGATGGAAGTTTCCTTAGACTGCCGACAGCGGTGCAACACAGCTCAAAGAAAGAATTTACATGAGCGGCCCAGTTAATGAACTGACAACTATCCCTGTACTATCTGCTATATCTCTTGTTAAACTGTCACCGTCACGTTTTCTCTGCTGCAAATGTGACGGTGACAAAAGGGCCGGATGATTAGAAACTCAGCCGGCCACCCCCACGACTGCTGCACATCTCAAAGAGGACGTATCTGGACTCTTTTTCTCCGTGATACCGGAAAAGGTGAGGAAATGGTCGTGGTGGCCATCTTTGCTACTGGCCCAGTGCCATCAAATGATTCACCTCATTAAGGAGCCAATCGGGTATAATGAAGCATGGGGCAAAGTCGGTCGCTGAGCCCAATCAATTCTTTGCTGTGACTTGTCATCCTCCTCACATCAAGGTAGTGCAGTCACCAAGGAGCACAAAGACACATGAAGGGTGGAGAGATTCCGCAAAGCTGGTGACCCCCCCCACACAAACATCAGTGAGGTCCACCTCCCACATCCTTTCCTCTCTCACTTCCTCCTTCTCAGTCACCTCCTCATCTTTAAATCAAACAGCCCACCCACCCCTCACTCCCTCCCCACCTGTCACACATTTGGGAGACAGAGGGATGGAGACAGCATCGCTTCGTTACCAGCCTCACACTCGGAGCTTTTCAAACAGATTTCGGCTAATGAGGGAGCATTTAGAAGCTCAGGTATGCCGACATCTAGAGGAAGAGGGAGCTGAGTGGGGGAGGGTTGTGGTGGAGTACAGTGCGGCGGTGAGACACGCACATGCACACACTGCACAGTGCAGCGTGCTGCATCCTCACAGCTTTTTTGTTTTTTGCCTGTGAAACCCGCACACACAGAAAGCATAAATTCACCTGTATGCACAGTTTCTCTCACACACAGCTCAGAGTTGTCAGTGCAGGTGAACAAAGTGAATGGGATATGTGAATGACAATAAAGATTTCTTTTAACATCAGTGAGGGGAAGGCAGGCGGCAGGGTGGAGGTGGGAGGAGGATGAGTCTAGAAAGACAGGCTGCAGAGGTTTGCATTACTCTGAGGGACCCATCGACTGCATATGCCATCTTTAATGATGAGGCCTTGCCAAACTGGCACCCAGTCAGCCAACCAGGAGAGTGTAAAGTGGGAGAAGAAACCCTGCAAAGCCATTATTTCAAACCTCTGTCTCTCCTTTTTTCTTCTCCTCCTCACCCCACTCTTCCTGTTCCTTTAAATGTGAGTTTTAATAGACACTGCTAAATTTCCTCTGTCTCCTTAAAGTTTAATTCACCCACTTTTCTCTCGCTCCTGCACCCCCATTATGGAGCAGCGGCAGCAGCTGCAAACAGGGCATTATTATTTCATAAAATGAAAACATTCTTTTGAGATGAAGGAACGAGAGGACGAGCTGTGGCAATATTTTGATGGCACAGTTATAATGGCAGGACCCACTTTTTACACAGTCTTACCCACGTTAATGACTGAATGGCTATTCTCTACTTTTCACTACTTTTGGGCTTCAAAGTTACCAGTTTTGTTTAGATGGTAAAAACTTGTGATTTTGAACCCTTGTAAAAAAAAACAGCTCTGCTCAGGTAATATTATCAACTGAAAATATTTTGTGCTTCATTTCTCAAAAACATCATTAAGATCAGTTTAGCAACAAAAAGCATCTCTGTCCTGTTGGCTCAGTGTTTCCCTGTGAGCCGGCTGATCAGGTGGTGGCCCTTAATGTCATTCACATGACTTGAGCCTTTCCTCCTGCCTTGGACACACTGTAACTCTGTTGTCTTTGACTGTAGTCACCAGATGAGGAAGACGAACATTTAACCTTGCATTGTAAGAAACTGAACAAATGAATTAACCCTTTAAAGCCGGTTGGAGTGGGCACGCTCCGTTTTGCGCAACTACTTTTAAGCAGAGAAGTTGTACTTACATCTGATGCCATCAGCTTGTCCTAGGTCAGTTTCCTTCCACATAAAGCTTTGCAAAAATTGCATAAAAAGCACTTGCAGCAACAAAAACATAATATTCCAGAAACAGGCTTTGCCGATCTGATCAGCTGTTCGTAACACTTCCTACGTTAGAATAGACGTCAGCGCGAACTATCGCATGTCCGCCATGTCCTGCCCGAAACCGGAAGTGACGTCATTTTCGCGGAAGTGTAGTTTTTTACCATCAGGGCCTCATGAGCCTATACTGGTGTTTTTAAAAGTTATGTTTGACTTTATGACTTTCTGTGTCGTTTCTGGGATGCTTAGGACTCATATTGCACTGCTGGAAATAGTTTATTTTGATGCATATGCTGCTTTTTTGCAAATTTGCACGTATAATATTTATTTTCGTTTTTCCTGCAGTAGTATAAAAATTGGTGTATTTCAAAAATAAAACTATGAAGACACTCAAAATAAATTTCCTGTGGTGGGAAACTATTTTGTGCAACTTTTTTGTATTTACAGTTTTGAGGGATAAGCCTCTTAAATTTCTCTAACTAGAAATATATGTTAAAAAAACAAAAACGATTTTCAATTTTTTTGTAGTTTATTGCACTTTTTTGCAATTTATGTAATTACTATGCACTTAATGCAGACATATTATTAAAATTTGGGCTATAATGGTTGTATTGATGTATAGCAACTTGAAATGCTCCCAAAAATGGCTCCACAGCATGTAAAAATATAATATAAGCTCTGGAGGACTTGGTTCTATGGTAGGTCTTAAAGGGTTAACCGTCCCCTTTTATAGAGGTCTTTATGAAGATATTAAACTGCATATGCTGCACACTGCTCTGTTAACACACAGTTGTAGGTTTCCCCATGTTTAAAATTAGTTATTTGCAGTCAGTGGTAATATCTTCATACTGCACATAGCTTTTGTAGTTCCAACTCCATTTTTCAAATGTTATTTATATAATGCCAGATGACAACAAAGGTGACCTCAAGGCACTTAATATTGTAACGTAAAGATCCTACAATCTTAGAAAAAATCACTCCGTCCCCTTGGCAACAGCGGGAAGAAAAAAATCCATTTTAACAGGAAGAAACTTCTGGCAGAACCTCAGGGAGGGGCGGGGCCATCTGCCCCAACTGGTGGGGGTGAGAGGTGTCAGGGTTCCTGGGTCGTTGACCCAGTGATTTCAGTTTGTTCATGTTCAGTTTAGTTCGCCACATTAATGTTCTCACTTCCTGTTTTTTCCCCGTGTCAGCTTGTCTTCCGTGTCATTAGTCAGATTATGTTCAGCCCTGTACTCACCTGTTTCCAATCATTGTCATCATTCAACCTGTGTATTTAAGGTCCTCGGTTTCACCAGTTCTCTGTCGTGTCATTGATGTTGATGTTCATGTCGTCCCTCCGTCTGTATGTTCAGTTAGTCAGCCAGCCAGTCTTTCAGCCAGCCACTCCATCGTTCCTGCTTTGTTCATTCACCCTCCAATAAATCCTCTTCACTTCTGCACCGTGAGTCCAGCGTTTGGGTCATCTCTTCCACGCCTCCACACACAACCTCTGACAGAATGACACGACCCGTGCCAAGAAGACACGCTTTTGACCCAGCGGACTCGGACCTTTACGAGCGGCAGGACGCAGCGCTCTCCATTTGGGCGGAGAAGCTCAGGTGGAAACAGCGGCTCTTCTCAGAGAGGGAGCACGTCTTTGAGGGGACTCGTCTGGCTCTGGGCGGGCCTCGGAGACGCCGCGGTCCTCCACCTGCTGCCTCACCTGCATCGGAGCGTTCGCCGCGGAGAGTGGGCGTCGCAGGCCAAGCTTCGGCCGCTCGCTCTCCCGCTGCTCCGCTCCTCGCTCGCCCGCCAGCCGTTTTACTCACCGGACCTTCAACCTCGCCATGGCACAGCGGCTCCGCCTACCACCTCGGCTCAATGGAGGCTCCCGTGCCAGAGGCTCGGCTGTGTACCCCGCCTGCTGTCTCTTCCCGAAGAAAGCGGCGCACACGCCGCCATAAAACGGACTACTTTCAGCCACTCCCGATGGTGAGCTCCAGTGACTGTTTTTCGCACTCACCATCTGATTACTCACTTGAAACGCACAATGGACCCACTTCTGATTCATGGGGAGTCTCCCTCCTAGACGAGGACGTGGACTGGGAAGAGTTTTTCTGCTCTTCTCCAAAGACTGTAAATAGTGGTGGCAGAAAAACCCGAACATTCTCCAATAAACCTGCCAGTAACACACACTCCATCACCATTTCCACACCCATTATTCAGCCATTTCCCACCAGCATGGGGGCCCAGTCCACGCCCACACCAGTGCCAGCTCCCAGGAGGAGGGCAGCTGCGACCCGGTCTACCTCCACACCTGCTTCTGTTTCTCAGGTGGGGGGGACTGGTGTCCAGCCACCTTCCGTGCCCGTCCCAGCGCCCAGGCTGAGGGCAGCCAGAACCCAGCCTGACCTCCCTAGAGACTTGGAAGAGCTAACCGGTTCACCTGCTACGTCACCACTTCCTCCAACTCCTGACCCAGCCTTTCACGCCCTCGCACTATCCCTAGTTAGATTAGCTGAACTGTCCCCTGCCCAGGCACCAGCCTTACTAGCCCAAGCCGTAATTTTATCCCCGTCACTAGCTCAGTCTGTAGCTCAGCCATTAGCCACACCAACCTCAGCTCCGTTGTCAGCCTCGCCTACCTCTGTTCATCCCTTAGCATCTCCACTCCAGTCAGTTCCCTCACCTGCTGTTCAGCTTTCACTCCAGTCAGTTCACTCACCTGTAGCTCAGCCTGCTCCTCTCCAGTCTTCTGTAGCTCAGTCCCCTGTCCAGTCAGTCCAGTCTGCTCCTGTCCCCCAGTCGCCCGTCCTCCAGCCTGTCCAGTCTGTCGTTCACTCTTCTGTAGTCCAGTCTGCCGCCCAGTGCCCTGTAGTCCAGTCGCCTCCTGTTTCCCAGTCGCCTGTCCACCATCCCGTTCAGTTCCCAGACCTGCAGCCACAGCACCCAGAGCCAGCTGTGAGCTCTCCAGCTCCTCAGCCAGGGGTTTCCGCACCCGCTGGCCCGGCCGCTCCTCAGCCAGGGGTTTCCGCACCCGCTGGCCCGGCCTGTCTCCAGCCAGAGGCTTCAACTTCGCCCGTTCAGGCCTCTGCCTCAGCGCCCTTACGTCCCGTCGGCCCATGCCTCAGCGCACTCGTCCTCGTCCTGGCCCAGCCTCAGAGCCTTCGTCCTCGTCTGGCCCAGCCTCAGAGTCTTCGTCCTCGTCTGGCCCAGCCTCAGAGTCTTCGTCCTCGTCTGGCCCAGCCTCAGAGTCTTCGTCCTCGTCTGGCCCAGCCTCAGAGTCTTCGTCCTCGTCTGGCCCAGCCTCAGAGTCTTCGTCCTCGTCTGGCCCAGCCTCAGAGTCTTCGTCCTCGTCTGGCCCAGCCTCAGAGTCTTCGTCCTCGTCTGGCCCAGCCTCAGAGTCTTCGTCCTCGTCTGGCCCAGCCTCAGAGTCTTCGTCCTCGTCTGGCCCAGCCTCAGAGTCTTCGTCCTCGTCTGGCCCAGCCTCAGAGTCCTTCGTCCTCGTCTGGCCCAGCCTCAGAGTCTTCGTCCTCGTCTGGCCCAGCCTCAGAGCCTTCGTCCTCGTCTGGCCCAGCCTCAGAGCTTCGTCCTCGTCTGGCCCAGCCTCAGAGCCTTCGTCCTCGTCTGGCCCAGCCTCAGAGCTTCGTCCTCGTCTGGCCCAGCCTCAGAGTCTTCGTCCTCGTCTGGCCCAGCCTCAGAGTCTTCGTCCTCGTCTGGCCCAGCCTCAGAGTCTTCGTCCTCGTCTGGCCCAGCCTCAGAGTCTTCGTCCTCGTCTGGCCCAGCCTCAGAGTCTTCGTCCTCGTCTGGCCCAGCCTCAGAGTCTTCGTCCTCGTCTGGCCCAGCCTCAGAGTCTTCGTCCTC